CTTTCCTCGTTACAAGGGAAAGGCCGCGTTGATACGGGAGGTACGGGAGGCTGACGCCCGATCGGAGGGTACTTGTCAGTCCACATATCAATCACTTTCTAAAACCTCAAGACGTCATCAAGAAAAGAAAACACTCGCGCAGCCCCCAATCAATCCTTTTCTACACGAGAGAGAGAAAGCACTCATCCACTAACGGACCGGCCCGCGGCTCGGGTTTAGTGAGCCAATGCGTCGTTGATCCGAGGTGCCTTGTTTTGGTTGCAGATGTCGTGCAGCATACGGCAGATGGCATGCGCAGTGCATTCAGAACTACAGATCAAAACACTCTTGCATTCTCGGACAAAATCCCGACAACAATCGCCTAATCAACGCAACAAGACGCGTACCTCCATACATACATTCACTGTGGAAGGTGCGAAAATGAGGTATGCACAGAAATAAAAGATGGATCGCTGAATAATACACACGCATCCACCGTTCACAAGACACGAAGACGGGGCTCTTGCATAGGGGGACTACCCAGGAAACTAATGGAAGAGTTCCGGAAGAAGTTCTTTCACATAGGAATAACATGCAGACTCATTCCCATTAGAGAGAGAGAAAGAGATCGAGACACGACATCATCCAAAGATAGAAGAGAGAAGAAGAAGAAGACGAGGGAGGAGTGTCGAGATGGAAGAGGACGAAAGCTGAGAAGAGGAAGTTCGGCGTTGCCACCGTACACTCACGCCAGAGATAAAGATCCACAATAACAAAGGCGTATTCGCCGTGAATTCCAATATGGCCCCAGGCCAATCACTCACTCAACTCCAATCATCGATCCTCATACCCGCACCGACGATCCCGGCCGTCGCGTGCTAACTCCCACCACTGCGTTCGTCACCCCGCTAACGTAAACTCGACGCGGTTCGCCCAGAACCCACAGTCCGTTGTGGCAATCAAGCGCGCAACCGGCCAGCCTATCGACAGCCCGACAGGACTTTCCGACTCGCATCAAGCACTCTGCCTAGCCACTGCTTCCCGGAAGCTGGCTCAAGAGTCGAGAACGTAAGAGAGTTTTCCGGGCGCGTTTGCGGAATTTATAGTGGCGAGAAGGGGGGCGAGGGAGAGAGAAGACAGGGGGAAAGTCGAGGTGTAGGAAGAGAAGCAGGAGGAGAAGACTTTGAGACGAGCGCCCCGTGGAAGCCATGTTGATCCTTCGAAGCTCAAGGTTCAGCCAATCAGATTCGTTGTGCAATCGGAAGATCCTATCGATCCACGCACCTGATTGGTGAGCGGGAGTTATCGAAGGATCGACCGGCCGTCGTGTGCTGGGCTCAGAGGGTGGGGAGAGAAAAGGCACGAGGAGTAGCGCAAGACGGGTCCAAGATTCAGATTAAGAAAGGGAAATGGGCGCGCAAAAAGCGAAGCGGGAGAGAGAGAGAAAAAAAAAAAAACAATTACGAGGAGAGAGAAAGAGGAGGGAGAAAGGGGAGGGAGCGGTGCGGGGGGGGGGGGCAGAGAGGAGAAAGCTTTTGCATGTGCAGCGCCGTCAACAAAAAGAAAGAAAAAGGCACCGAAACAGTTACAGCTTGCCTCTGTCCTAATTCAAAAATTAAAATCACCATATCCGCGCGCGAAAAAGTGACGCGGGAAAAAAAAATCCTACGCCTATTCGTATTCGCACAAAATTCCAAGAGTTTTCCCCAACGCGACCAAGAACATTCACACACAAAAAGAAGGGGTCGAAGTTCCGCTTATCCCGTTCCCATTGGTTCTCAGGTTCAATGGCAGTGCCTCCATTACCACGAGGAAAAGAAAGGGGGCCAGGGGGTCACCCTGCCGCACCAAGCGCTGAAGCTTTATTTCTGGTGCTAATAAGCCGTTCACCTGCACCCGTGTCGTCGCGTTGTGGTGGAGTATTTTAATCCAATCCCTAAATTCTGGGCCAAAGTTCATCTTTTGTAAACACTTGTCCAAAAATTCCCAGTCTACATGGTCGTAAGCTTTTTCGAAGTCAATGAACATTACGGCCGCGTTTTGATGCGACTGTCTCGATAGCTTTATTAGTTCGTTTACCAGTAGCACATTGTCTTGGATATTCTCGTTGCGCATAAATTCCGTTTGTGCAGGATGGATTATTTCCTCCATGACCGGTATCATCCTATTGGCCAACGCCTTAGCCATCAGCTTGTATACCACCGTGAGGAGAGTAATTGACCGGTAATTCCTTATGTTCGTTTTGCCCTCTTTTTTATATAACAAGGTGAGAATTCCTTGACCTACTATATCCCCCATGTCTCCTGAGGCTTTTACCTGCCTATAGAATTCCATCAATTCATCTGCTATAGGGGTCCACATCTCCTCCCATAATTCCTTGGGGAGTCCATCCACACCCGGGGTTTTGCCTTCCTCCATCTGTAGCAGCGCTTTCCAAATTTCTTCTTTTCGTAAAGGTTGCTCCAGGGACTCCCGTTGTTCATGCGAAATTCTTTGGGAGAGGGGGGATAGGAATTCCTCCATCTTGTAATCTCTGGTTTGCTCTGGTTCCCTGTCGGGGGACGATGAAAAAAGTTCTGTATAAAAATCTCTAGCCACTTTCAATCCGTGGGCCGAGGAGTAAGAGGTGACCACCTGCGACTTGAGTGGGTCGTAGAGTCCCTCTATGGTAGATCTTCTGTCTCTTGTTTGGGCGAGGGTGAAAAAGGTGGCATCCATTTGTCCCGTCACGCACGGGCGCATGCCCGCGCAGGCGCGCGGAGCCCCATCACGCATGGGCGCACACCCGCGCAGGCGCGCAGAGACCCATCACGCACGGGCGCACGCCCGCGTAGGCGCGCGGAGCCCCATCACGCAGGGGCGCACGCCCGCGCAGGCGCGCGGAGCCCCATCACGCACGAGCGCACGCCCGCGCAGGCGCACGGAGCCCCATCACGCACGGGCGCACACCCGCGCAGGTACGCGGAGCACCAGGGCGCACGGGCGCACGGCTGTCTCTTATACACATCTAGATGTGTATAAGAGACAGGCGCACGCCCGCGCAGGCGCACGGAGCCCCATCACGCACGGGCGCACACCCGCGCAGGTACGCGGAGCACCAGGGCGCACGGGCGCACGGAGCCCCATCACGCACGGGCGCACGCCCGCGCAGGCTCGTGGAGCCCCATCACGCACGGGCGCACGCCCGCGCAGGCGCGCGGAGCCCCATCACGCACGGGCGCACGCCCGCGGAGCCCCATCACGCACGGGCGCACTCTCTCGCAGGGGCGCTGAGCCCATTTCCACCCGGGCACACACTTGTGCAGGTGCGCAGGGGCGCAGGGCCCATTTTCACAAGGGCGCACTCTTGCGCAGGGGCACAGGGCCCTTTCTCACACGGGCGCACTCTCGCGCAGGGGCGCTGAGCCCATTTCCACCCAGGCACACACTTGCGCAGGGGCGCAGGGCCCATTCTCACAAGGGCACACTCTTGCGCAGGGGCGCAGGGCCCTTTCTCACACGGCGCACTCTCGCGCCGGGGCGCAGGGTCCATTTTCACCCGTGCGCACACTTGCGCAGGGGCGCAGAGCCCATTTTCACAAGGGCACACCCTTGCGCAAGGGCGCAGAGCCCTTTCTCACACGGGTGCACTCTCGCGCAGGGGCGCTGAGCTTATTTCCACCTGGGCGCAGAGCCCATTTTCACACGGGTGCACCTAGGCGCAGCCCTTCCGGGCACATACGGCGAAGGGCGCAGCCCCCTCCGAGCACCTGCGGGTGTGGGCGCACTTAGGCGCAGCCCTCCCGGGCACATACGGCGAAGGGCGCAGTTGGGCGCAGCCCCCCTCGAGCACCTGCAGGTGTGGGCGCACCTAGGCGCAGCCCTCCCAAGCACATACGACGAAGGGCACAGTTGGGCGCAGCCCCCCCGAGCACCTGCGGGTGTGGGCGCACCTAGGCGCACCCCTCCCGAGCACTCACGACGAAGGGCGCAGTTGGGCGCGGCCTCCTCCCAAGCATCAGCAGGCACAGGCTCATCTGGGCGCAACACTCCGGGGTACTTTGGGCTCACGTTTGAGGGCACGGTGAACAGGCATTTCGGGCTGTATCAAGACGCGGTGAACGGGTACTTTGGGCTCACGTTCGAGGGCACGGTGAACAGGCATTTCAGGCTGTATGAAGACGCGGTGAACGGGTACTTTGGGCTCACGTTTGAGGGCACGGTGAGCAGGCATTTCGGGCTGTATCAAGACGCGGTGAGCGAGTACTTTGGGCTCGCTACTCGAGGGCACGGTGAACAGGTACTCCGGGGAGTATCGAGACGAGGTGGACGGGCGCTTCGAGCACACATATCGAGAGTGCGGTGAGGGGGCACATTGGGCAGGCACTTTGAGGGAGAAGACCTCGAGTCCGACACCACGAATCGTGGCGACCGAGCGGGCACGTTAATGATCACGGGATCTCGGATAGGTACTAACAAGAAGGTTTTCTGAAGAGGTACTTTCCCGAACCGGGCCACCCGAACGGACACATCGTGAAGAGGTGCTTTGAAGAGGTGCTTTGAAGAGGTGCTTTCCCGAACCAAGCCACCCGAACAGACACGTCGTGAAGAGGTGCTTTTGAAGAGGTACTTTCCTGAACCGGGCCACCCGAACGGACACGTCATGAAGAGGTACTTTGAAGGGGTACTTTCTTGAACCGGGCCAGCCAAAGGGGGCACATCGCGAAGAGGTATTTTTGCAGAAGCATATTCTGAACCGGGCTTTCCGGGAGAGGCACATTCTGAATGGGCCCTTGGAGGCATGGTCAAGGTAGACCTCGAGCTTTGGCCCCAGTGGGCGAGAGAGGCGACTTTGGGACCAACGGGCCCGTTACCAGCGACATCCGGTCGGGAGGAGGATTAGGCCCAGACGGATGACTAGATCTATAGGCACCCAAACGGACTTTCCAGACATAGGGACGAGACACACGGTTGAGGCTGGAACTAATACTTTACATCCTATTATTTGGACTGAATGAGGACGTTCTATTTATTCGTTCCAGACGGTGACTTGTGATTCATTTGTGCATTTGCTTCGGGTTGTCGCAGTCCTTGTTTTTGTGGATATGGACTGACGTGGTTTGTGCAGGTTACAGGAGCCCCGACCAGCCCTCCCGCGGGTGACAGACGCGGCGCGAGGTATACGGTATGGGCGGCGTGCCGGCAAAGCCATTCTACCGCTTGACAACGTAAGCTGGGCCCTCTGCCACTAACCTCCTCGGCGCCTCATCCATCCGTCCGCGTCGATCTGCCTGCAATGGGTCCTCCCGTGCCTGCCGCTCCAACTCCCCCGCCGTCATGGCTCCACCTATAGGCAATATACAAACACCCTGAACCGGCGACGCGGGTCTCTCGCCTGCATCCCCACAGCCCGCACTGCCACACTCTGACTCTGGCGCTCGCTCCTGCACAGGTCGACAATCCCCATCATTCCCTACTGCACGCTCCTGCTGCCCCGACGAACCTTGTGTCCCCTCTGTTGCCTCCTGCAACATGCTGCTACTGATGTCACCCATGCTGCATTCAGGTATGTCCCTGAGTATCTGACTGACGGGCGTAGCCGATGCGTCCGCAACACCAATGCCACGCTCGCCTGCCGGTGTCGGAGGAAGCCCTAACGAAACATCCAAAATACCACTGAAACTGGCACCCAACTGCGCAGAAGCCCTCCGAACCTGTGCAGCCTCGCCAACAACCTCTGCAAACCCGCCTGTGACCTCCTCAGACGCCACTGCAAACTCTGTAGCGGAGGGAGCGGCCTCTGCAGCGGCCTCTGCCGACGCAGCACCAAAGTCTGCCGACCCGGCGCCAACCTCTCATGTTGCGGCACCCTCATCAACCCAGTGCACGGTGCGAGTGGACGATGCAGACTCTCGCCTCGCTCGTCCTCCACCGCCACGGCCTGCACCCCCTGTGTGTCGTGCACCCCCCCCACCCCTGCCTGCACCACTGCCTCCCCTGTTTGCACCACTGCATCGGTCGGCACGCTGTCGAACCGACGTCCGCAAACCGCCTGCAGCCTGTGTACCATCGCCGCCGTCGTCGTCGTCGTCACCACGTCCGCGTCTCGGGGAATAACGGAGATCATCCTCGTCCTCACTTTTGCCCTCGTACCCCTGCCTGTCATCGTCGTCGTCGTCGTCGTCGTCTCCCTCGTCAACAATCTCCCGAGTCCCCTGCTCACCATGTCCAGGACGATCTGTAGGTGGAGGGGGATGCTGCGCAGCGGCTGCAGTGGAAGCAGGAGCACTCGAAGGCAGAGGTGGAGGGGGAGGGGGACGCGGCGCAGCGGTTGTAGTGAAAGCACGCGTCCGAGGACGCAACATCTCGGCGAGAGGACCATCGTCGCGACCATCATCAGAATCTCCGGGCTCTGACTCCACTGCTAGGTCGTCTGGATCAGACCACGACTCCGCCTCAATCGGGTCCTGAGCCATAGGATCAGGCATCGTACACGACGTCCAACTTAGTCGGCATGAGCACCGTGGCGCGACGACCGAAATACGTCTCAACGCTGGGCGGAGCCTTCGAAAGGGGATCCTTCCGCCCGCGCTGCACCAGCCGCTCGCGCTGCGCCTCCGTGACTCGGTTGGCCGAACACCCTCGTCACGAGGCGGAGGAATAGTGTCCTCTGACTCCTCAGCATCCTCCCATGGCAGAACGTACCCTCAACCCCTCCCCTGACAACGACTCAATCTCAAGTTGGTGGATATCTCCACCAAACGAGCAAGCTTAACAAAACTAAGCTGGTTATGCTTCTTCACCTGAACACGCTCATGGACGGCCCAGTTCCTTTCCGCTGGAGAGGCGCACGTCCCTGTGTGCGTCAGGCGAATGGCATAACTCTGAAGGAGAGGGACCCCGTCCCTAGGCTGCACCCACCACTGCCCAACCTGCGACGTCTCCTTCTCCCCTCTGCAGGAGGCCGCGTCCCTGTCACCCTCAACCCCTCCGTACGTCCAATCGCCCTCCAGACTAAGAAACTCTGCCAACTGCGTGCGCAACGTCTGATACAAATCCTCATCTCTGCCAGTCTGCTGGCGAAGGTATCACAGTTACTCCTTTGCGAGTGTCTTATCGTGCTCGTTGTGCCTCGCCGCTCCAAAATACGTAATGCTCCTGTGGCGAGGGTTGAGGAGGTGGGCCATGCAATGTGCGGGCTCCAACATATGATCGACCCGCGCCTGACAAGCCTTAACAATGATGTTGAGCTCCTCCATCGATGTCCTGTTCAGTCTTGCCCTCGCCACCCTGTCAACCATGGCAAGCTGCATCGCAGGCGTCATCAGCTCCACGATGTCCTCCATGTGCTCCCAAAATGGTGCGTACCGCACCTGATGACGCACCCACCTGGCCTGCAAGAAAACGGACCTCCTCCATGCAGTCCGCAACCAGTCGTCGCTCATCATCAACGCCACAAACGCTCAGCGACGATCCAACAACCTCTGCAGCATCAAGTAGTGCGACGCAAACCTCGTCTGTGCGGGGTACACAAGCTCTCTGCCTCGCCGCTGAGACGAGGGTGGCGCAGCGCTGGAACTGGCCGCAACTGCGAAGGCGGAAGAGGGGTGGGCAGCAGAGAACCGTCGTTAAAGGCTGAGAGCCGCCCCGTGCTCTCTGATGAAACACACGACAGCTTGAGCCCTAATGATGGTGTCCTCCCTCTTCCCAAGCTTCCCGTTGGTGCCGTCCTTCGCGATGTCTGACAACAGCAAGTTGCAGACATGGACCGCACATGGAAGCCAAGTAATGCGACTGTACTTGACTTCCTCCTTCACGAGGAGCTTGGATGCAGCCACATACGCGGACGCGGAATCAGTGCAGATGGCGTTGACGTTTTCGACACCGAACTTCCATCGCTTCACCACGGCCTCGGCTGTTTCCTGAACAGCACCGTCGCGCTGTACAGTCCTGAAAAGGTAGGCTCCCGTGAGTCCTGCGGCAAGGAAGTTGACTATCTGGTCGCTTGTGATGGACTTGCGACCATCCGTGAGGATGGTCGCTCCCGTCGCCGCAATGTCCTTGCGGATGGCCACCACCATCTCCGCCACAACTCGCTGCTGCTCTGGGATGCCGTCGCCGGAAATCACACTGTGTGTGGGCAACACAGGATGTGTGTACGGCGGACACTTGAGCGACCGCCTCCTCACTCGCTGGTGCTCCGGCCTCCTCGCCGCCTCAAATCGAATGCCGCTCACGTACCACCACTGTCGGAACTCGTTCGAAAACTCTCGTTGCCACACCGGATTGAAGGTCTCCAACATGGATGTCTATCGAAGTACTCTGCCCTTCTTCGGCAGAGGAGGTACTGGTGTCGCCTCTGTGACGGTCTTCTTTGCCTTCCTCTTTCTCTTCTTCGATTTCGTGGCCTCCTTCATCGTTTTGGCAGCCCCCTCTTGGCCTCGACGGCCAGCGGCCATCAGCCCCCCATCAAGAGAGGCCCCAATGTCTGCGCTCTGATCCTCGTCGTCATCGTCGTCGTCGTCGTCCTCGTCCTCGTCCGGGGTAGTGTCCTCGTCAACGGCCTTGTCCCCCCTCATCTTACCCCTGGCGCGCTCCACCTCTCGCCGCACCTCCATGTCCTGTGTATCGCTGTCACCATTATCACCTCCCCCCTCGGCCGCCCTCCTCTCGTCCTCGTTGTCGTCGTACTCCTCCTCCCCCGCCTGGTCCCTTTCCGAAGTATTTCTATTGTCTCGAAACCCACGAGACCTCAGGAAGTCGAGGATCTTCCGATGGTGGCTCTAATCGAACGAGTACTTCGTCTTGTTCCAAATCTCCGCCAGCTGCTCCGCGGAGACTTTAGCACAGTTGTTCTTTATTGTGAATTGTTGTGCGGCCTTTGTCTGACTTCCCTGAAACCCCTAGCCACACAATTTCACTCCATGAGAAAATTCCCGTTGGATTGTGGCAGTGTTTGCCCCTTTGTGATCCACTTGAAACTGCAGAACTTGAGCTCTGCCTCTCTTTGTTTGTCCTTACTGACAGGGACAAACCGCTGCTCTCCCCTCCCTTTCCTAGGTGCCATTGCACACACCCCGCAAAGTCAGGAGCGAACAACTGCATCTGCGCCCCCTAGAACCGCTGCGTCTCCGCCCCCTAGAACCGCACACGGCCGTTGTCAGGCT